CATTACATAGGGATGGCAGGATAAAGGGTTAAAACGTGGGATAAATGCTAGAGCCAATTATCTTCTGTGTATTTATGCACTCTCTTCTTGGCAAAACAAGGATCCTTTAGTATTGTAGAACTCAAAAAATGTCATGTTTGAAGGTCACATGAACACCAAATTGTCTAGACATGCTGATACTGTAAATTAGTACATGAGAATTGTCTTTTACACAGTGAGATTTTATGAAGTTCTACATGTAGGTCTGGATCGGACATATTAACATACACACATGTACATGTTCTGAAAGTAGTAATTAGAATCTTAAAGAAACCCCAAGGGAGACCATGATAATTAGGTACCTGTTTAGTAATTTATGAGTGTCTTGTCATTATTGGTAGCTGCATGAGTTTAATGGGCCTTGATTATTGTTGTTGTCTTCCTCATTAAACCGTTCTAATAATTACAACAATTTTTTTTGTTCTGTGCTTTACTTGGGGGATATTACAGTGTCTGTTGACTGGTTTCCTGGTCAGTTGTTTTAAAAAAAAGTAATACTCAACCATTGGATTAATTTTGTTAGTATGCAATTACCCTTGAAGGATTAAGGTTTTGTTAACGTTCTTTTTATTTCAAATATGCTTTAAAAACTAAAAAGTTTAGTGGATGTGGTGTGGCTGTTCATAAATAAGCAATTTAGATTGTTGATTCTATGCTTTTAAGAATACTGTGAATGTTTTTATCATGGAAATTTATAAAACATTAACCCAGAAAGATCAACACATTTTTAAATCTGAAGAAGTAGTTTTGATTGGCTGGAGTTGCTGTTTGGGAATGCCCTTTACCCATGGGTCTGTGCGTCACACTGACCATTCTATAGGTCTCATACCACTAATTGAAACTCCATAGACGACAATTTTTACATACGACGAGATTGCTAAATGAAAATGATAAACAAAGTTGAAAAAATCAAAAAGTTCCATGAAACAATGAAATAAATTCTAAAAACACAATTCAGGTATTACCTTTTAAAAATTGCATGTGAGCTAAAAATGGCTTTTCAGATCCTTAGTATTAAACAGAGTGATTTATGGGTGCTATGCTATTTACCATACTGAACCCACTGATGGTTCAGTAGTGTAATAAAGTTATTATTATTATGCTAGAAAAAGATTTACAAAATGGTATGAATTAGCTCATTCATTTCACTTCACTTGAAGTTCTGTCATAGTAATATTTTGTTCTGTTTTATATTGCAGATACTAATAAAGGTGTTATGCAATGTACATAGAGCTATGTGCCGGATCTAATATAGTTGATAGTACTGCTATTCCACGCCAGTTCCGATCACCTATACGCTATCCTAATGTGGTCATCACTGCCCAAACAGCCGCTACCCATGTATCACTTGCCGTATTTACGACGTTCAGGTGAAGGATATTGTCCCGTTGCGCCACCTAATTACTACAGTCCAACCAGGCCAGTTGGAGCAATACATGTACGTGGCTTACCGAGGAAGGATTTCACACCTCCTCTTCCTCCTCCTACCCCGCGATTACCATCTATTCTACCACGTCGAAAACCAACACACCTTCGGCATGGCATTGGGAGTGATTTGGAGTGGGATGATTTTGAGTTTTGTGCAGATGACTTCTCAGATTCACCAGATGGCTCCGATAATGAGAGCACGCAGTCTGTGTCAACGTGTAGTCATTCCGAACTGGAATGGGATGATTTTGATTTGCGAAATAGTGGTGATGAAGCTGCTGACGTTGATGAAAGTTTGGCAATGGATAACCTGTATCCGCTGGTGGTTATAATTCATATATTTAGCCCCATTTCCCAGTGTAGTATTCTCTGTTCACAAGTTTTGTCACTCTCCTGCAAACTCCCTCCCTTTTAAAAAAAAAGGATTGTTCAAATTGTTCTGAATTATTCAATATAGAAAATTTTTAGAAGGGAGGAGTGACAAAACTTGTAATGTAGATCTTGTGTGTGAATAGCTTTAACCTACAACTACCATGGCTGTTCCATCTTAGTTCTACTACCCCCATACTTACATGCATTTCCTGTGGTTCCCTACTATACTAATACTGTTTTTATTTTTTCTTTGTTGCATGCAGCACTGGAATGTTGGCAGGTAAATATTTAATAATAAATTAATATTCTCACAGACATGCAGAATGATATTTATCATGTATGGCTATCAACAATAGATATTGGTCTCCTGCAAAATTATTAAAATTCCATAATATCACGTGCATGCATAAATGAATTCAAGAAATGTATCTGGTGTCTAACACCGGAGTTAACTTCAATGAAAAAATTGCATGTTGCTGGATGTGGCTTTAGTTTCCGCTTCAGGTTCATCATCTTAGATTCACATTTAGTTGTTATTAAGTACATGCATTTTGACTTCTTGTCGTTACATAAATATGATGTAATAGTCTTTGGCATATTACTTAGATGATGAGATATTAATGCAAACATACCTTGTGTTCATTATTGTTACAACGAATGGTCAAAAGGTATTTGTGCATTAATATCTTCCAGATTGAAACTCAATTCTGAACTGAATCAAGTAATATTCTTGTACCTGTCTATCAGGGTTTTGTTTTAAACTGGCTTTATAGTAGGTGGCTTGCCACAAATCATATAAAGTGTTATTACCCATATGACTCTGTGATACAAATTCAAATTTTTTGTACTTTTTGGTAGATCTATATACGAATATCTTGGTATCAAGTCAAGTTTTCATTGTCATCATATAATTTCATGAACGTTTGTTAATCTTGTATCTTTATTTTTTTTTTTTTTCATTGTCAGCTGAATTCACTAACATCTAGACCTATAGGTAGACGTGGAGTTCCATTGGGTGCTGTTCAAGTTCGTAAATTACCCAGAATAACCTGCACATTTGCTGGCCTAGCACATGTCCCAGAAGAGTTCTGTTATGATATTAGCTCACGAAGTTTAAACAAAGACTTATTGACTTTAACCTCAAAGCTAAATGGATATGACAGCGACATATGGGACTATGATGATGACTTTCAAACCACCAAACTTGGAAAAACTTTCAGTAACGAATCATTGAATAGCGATATATCCACAGTATCAACTCAAGAAAGTGGGTATCGAAGTAGCGGTACCGCTAAGTCGCGTGACACCCCTGACCTGCCAAATGAGTTAACTGACTCATCATTAGCTGAGTCATACGGTGATGGTTCGATTGTTGAATACTACGACCATTTTGCTGACTATAACTATTTCTACAAGCTGTCTCCACATTGTCTGGACTCGCCACTGTCTGCTTCTCTGACAGATTTATCCGACGCTACTTTATGTGAGTTTAACGAAACTGCTAATCTATTGCTTAAACCAGAGCGTTCGGCTAGCATGGAAACATTACGATCTGAGCTACAAACTTCCCCGTCTAATAGCCACTCCCCGACTAAGATACCTCGTACTGAGAATAACTGTGTGGTATGTGAAAAACATAGCGCTGCACGATGTGAGGTGTCGGCACATTCACCATTACTTACCTTGCATGAATTAGTGGACGACTCAGGTACCGTCCATTTAGACCCAGACACATTAAGTGCATGTTACCATAGCAACCAAAAGCTGCAACCTATTAACTATGATATTCCCGCAGATGAGCTTTTAACAGCTGGCGACAGTCCTCCTCCTCTTCATTACTATGGCAACCATGATATAGGAGAGTTGATTGAAGGTAAGAGTGAAATGAGAATGGAGGTTGATTCATTGAAGTGTGTTTGTACATGTTATGTACTGTACGTATCCAGGTATTTCATGAGTGGGAGGTGAAATATGCAAATTAGTTTGAACTTGAACATTAATTTTTCCACAGAGTTGCTTACACAACATTTAAATCGGTAGCGTGGCAGCATCTCATCTAAGAATTCTAACTAGCAACATTTTGATGAACTTGAGTCGGTAGTTACCATGTTTGCAAGTTGAAAATTTTTGCTTATCAGCAAATTTATTTGTTAACTGGAAAACCTAAATTCACATCATACAACATGATTTTAAATCCTGCCTCAGAACACACTCATCACAGCTAGCCTAGAAAGTATGAAATAATTCATCTTTGATGTTTCAGTGTAACTATGGCAACAGATGTTAAAGTTGTCAAAGAAATTAAGAAAGGCCTAAATGCACAGATACAGGAAAACTGATTTTCATAGCAAACAACCTAAAACATCTTGTGGATACCATAATTTGATGTACGGCACAGACTTCATACTACAAAAAAAATGTATTGAATACAAATTTAACTTCAGAAAGTTGGCATTCATTTGTTAGAATATGAATTAGGCAGAAAAAGTCAATAAAAGTCCATGAGAAATGATAGGCATATATTTACATATCTTTTGCCATGACAAAACATTGTGCACAATTGATTTTTAGAACAAAAAACATGTAGACCAGAATACATTGTAAGTATAATAGTGTTCTAAATGAGGAAATTAGATTTACATGTACATGAAACACTTAAATTGAAATCTGGCTTAACTTTTTTTGAAACAATGTAATTTCATCTTAGTTTTCATAAACTGTTCAATTTGTACCATGCCATACCTGCTACAATTCCAGTGAGTTCCACAGACTTTTAATATTCGTTTTATTCACCCACGTGCATACCCCAATATAAATATGTCAAACTGAAACTTACAAGACCAAAGCTCCTTGGTCAATCAAATTCTCATTATTTTTGTTCAGTTATCAATTTCACCTACATCCATGTTTGCCATACATTTTTGTGTGATTGTGAGATTTTTTTTTTTTTATGATTCAAAATACCGAGAATGGCAAACTAATAAAACTAATAACATCATGCAATATTAATATTTAAATCATGGGTATTCTGTGATACACGTTTATTGTACTGTATGAAGAGTGAGTTGGTTATTCCATTTTTAAATGCGAGGATTATTGCTTGCTTGCAATTCGTTGTGGCGCTAATTTTTGATATTACAATGTAAATAAATACCGGTAGTAAAGCAAAGGAAGTGGTACTAATCTCATGTGAAATGCACTGGGGTTAAAAAAATTTCTTCGAATTTGCTGAAAACAATCCTTGTTATGAATAATCTTACAAAATTTGGTTATACATTGATTGTACAAGGACGGCTGGCTGAGAGGTGAACCTTTTCACCACCAGTTCTCTCTTTTCATCACATATTCACAAAATAGTCCTGTTTATAGTCTGCACTTTCCTTCAGAAGATATGGACAAAAATAGTCAAGTACTTTGAGTGAAAATTGACTCAAATTTTGTCAGTTGGCTCAAAAATTAAGGTTATTTCCAGAAATACTGAAAAATATAAGAAAAGGTGCAGAATAATTTGGGAGAGAAAGTCTGGTGGTTAAAACTGCACACATAGCCAATTCGTGTCTTTGTTAGATTTAACCAGAGATTTTCAGTGAATTCTAGTAGAATCTAATATACGCACCCTCCCTTTAGACTCATTGGTTGTGATATTAAGTTAAGTCTGAAATATTCTTTTTTAATTTTTTGGAAAATCATTCCTAGTAACATTTTGGCTGTGATTTTTTTTTAAATTCAATTTTTGACTCAGACATTATTATTAGCATGACACATATGCAAGACATTTGTGAGGAATTTAGGGATGGTCTTAATTATGACAGTAGAACAACAACAAGAATAATTCAGTGGTTTAAGTGGAGAGTAATAGTACTTTGAACTAAATGCACTCAATTGAACTGTAATGCAACCCTTTTGTTGTTAAGAAATAAACCAACTCTGATTAATTGACATTCCCTTGGAAAGTGACAGATCAGTCTGTAGTGTACTGTAAAATCTGTATTAGAAACCACAGCTTCTATTAAAATGGTACAATGCAACATATGAAAAATGATGAATTTTTGGTTCTCAATTATTCAAAAAGAATTGGTGCGACTTCTATTAGGGATGCGGCTCCTAAAACAGATTTTACTGTAGTTGATGTCAATGTGACTTCAAATTGCAATGTAGGCTGACAAATTTTGAGTGCGAACTGAAAACGATTCTGACATTGAGATATAAATAATAGCCACTATCAACTATTGTATTTGTAAATTGAAAACAAATTCATACTAGTAAGTAGATTCTGTATAAGTCGAGAGGGGTCCCATATTCAATGAAAATAATTAATTCTGCCATAATAGTTAGGGAACGCATTAGTAGCCTGGAGAGCATGGCGTGGAGCATCATTATTTTACATCAATTATTTGGTGAAACTCAGCAATTAAATTTCACATGGTAAATATCTGGTGAATAATGTGTACTGATTTGTTTCTTGATTTTGAAATTATATAGTACGTACCGCTGTGCAAGCAGTCAAAATGAACCTTTATTTGTTTTCTTAAAATAAATTACCTTGCACACTATGTTTGTTGTGTATTCAGACAGTATCTGAATCTATGTAATTATATAGGTCACTCTGCGTCAGACCAGTATCCACTATCTATTAGATTTGCTGCTAATCAAAAAGGAAAACGCTCAGTAAAAAAACGGAAAAGGAAAGCCTATGATAAAGTTGATGATGATGTTGCGGAGGAAACTGAGGAAGATAAGAAATCTAAGAGACTTGCACCAAATTATTTTGTTGCGATACAAGTGTCAAACCCAGAGGTACGTCTAAGTTGATGTTTGAACGCTACAACCACAGGTTGGATCACCATCAGCTTATTCCAATTACAATCATGACTTTCATTTTACTGTAACCAGATTTTTTTTTTGCCAGAGATAACTTTTTATGACTTTTTCAAGATGAGGAAAACCTTAAATTATCGTATGTAGCAGTGAAAAAACAAATTTACCTAGACCTAGCTCGGCTTACCTGAAGGGTTCCGCTTCTAGAATACAGTTTAAAAGCATTTAACCCAGGGAACTGATATAATAATAGTAGTTCATGGACTGTCTTGAATCAACATTTGGGTATGCTAAAATTCCCATAGTTACATGCCATACCTTTGCATGCAGTATCACAGTTAAATATGAATATGTGACAAATTGGCTACAAATTATAATATGAGTATTCAACATTTTGATTGGATAACATTTCCGCAATTCACAACAGCTGTGGTACAAATTAGTAATGAATCTAAATATTTAAAAACTCAAATGATAGTCGTTCATTCTGTGAGCTTACTGTGGTAATGACATGGGCTGTTCCTGATTCCTGATTAATATGTAAATGCTTCACTGAATGAACAGAAGCACTTACCTGGTCAATTTAATCATCTTGTTTGCATTAAATTTAAGGAGAAAATAATTGAATCTATAAATTTGTATATTTATAAAAATATACTGAACTGAGGGAGGCACCTGTTTGCCTGGCCAATCCGATTGTCACAATTGGGTTTGAAGAGAGTAGTTTATAAATTTATTTGTCCCCGTTCGGGCACAGTCCGAAAACTGGGACTTGTGTTTTGACCTCAGTGTGTTCGTGCGTGCGTGCGTCTGAACCTGTATCTTAGAAATGCCTGGACTAATCACAATCAAACTTCACACTTACATCATACATGATATTATACATATGCACATCAATTTGTTTCACGATCTGATTCAAGATGGCCAAATGGTGGCCATTTTTGTGCTAAAAATCATCAAAATCAAGCATTTTTCGGCTGTTAACAGATGGATTTTGTTCAAAATTGGTATATACGTTAGACATTATAGGACCTTGATGCACATCATTTTGTTTTACAATCTGATTCAAGATGGCCGAATGACGACCATTTTTGTGCTAAAAAAATCATAAAAATCAAGCATTTCTCGGCTGTTTACAGATGGATTTTGTTCAAACTTGGTATATACATTAGACATTATGGGACCTTGATGCAAATAATTTTGTTTTTCAGATTAGATTCAAAATGGCCGACTGGCGGCCATTTTGCTTTAATGAATGTGGTTCTAGTGCCATATGTCTGACTTGCTTTCACTGATTATGTTAAAATTTTAAATATTCATTATACATCATGTCATAGATAGACAGATATATTGGTTTGACGATCCTATTCAAAATGGCCAAATAG